AGTATAGCGTTGCACCCATGGATGCTTCTTGATGCAATCTTGGTGATTTGGGAGCTTCAAACTTGTGATTTTCACACTCACACTAGTAGGTAGTATAGCGCTGCGCCCATGGATGATTCTTGATGCAAATTTGGTGGTTTGGGCTCTCCAAACTTGTGTTTTTCACACTTACACAAATAAGTAGTATAGCGCTTCTTTCATAGATGGCCTTTGATTCAGCTTTGGTGATCTTGCCTACTTAGACTCTTGTTTTCACTTATGTAATAGCATGTGATGTACCGGATGATCTTCCCTCTATGTGCATGCGCTTTTCATCTAGTCTAGCATCACTTGGTCTTGTTCATACATTGGTGTAATGTTCCGGATGATCTTCCTCTCATGTGCATGTGCTTTCCATCTAGCTCTAGCATCTCTTTGTCTTGTTCATACTTGGTGTGATGTTCCGGTTGATCTTCCCTCTATATGCATGTGCTTTCCATCTAGCTCTAATATTGTTTTGTCTTGTTCATACTTCGTGTGATGTTCCGGATGAACTTTCCTTCATATGCATGTGTCTTCCATTAGTCTAGCATCTCTTTGTATGTTCCTACTTGGTGTAGTGTTCCGGATGATCTTCCCTTCATGTGCATGTGCTTTTTCATTACTCTAACCACTCATTGTAATGTTCCTACTTGGTGTAGTGTTCTGGCTGATCTTCCCTCTATGTACATGTGTTTTTCATTAGTCTAGCATCTCCTTGTCATGTTCCTACTTGGTGTAATATTCCGGATGATCTTCTCTTCATGTGCATGTGCTTTTTCATTAGTCTAGCCACTCATTGTCATGTTCCTACTTGGTGCAATGTTCCAGATGATCTTCCCTCTATGTGCATGTGCTTTTCATCTAGGTCTTGCATCTCCTTGTCATCTTCCTACTTGGTGTGATGTTCCGGATGATCTTCCCTTCATGTGTATGTGCTTTTCCATTAGTTTAGCCACTCGTTATCACGTTCATACTTGGTGTGATTTTCCGGATGATTTTCCCTTCTTGTACATGTGTTTTCCACTAGTCTACTCTCTCATTGTGAAGTTCATGTTCCGGATCTTTATTTAATTGACCCTTCTTTTTGTGCATGTACTTTCCACTAGTCTAGTCTTTCGTTGTCAAGTTCATGTTCCGGATCTTTATTTAGTTGGCCCTTGTCTTTGTGCATGTACTTTCCACTAGTCTATTCTTTCGTTGTCAAGTTCCTTGTGCCGAATCTTTTTACTTAGTTGAGCTCTTCTCCTTTGTGCATGTGCTTCCACTAGTCTAATCCTTCATTGTCAAGTTCATGTTCCGGATCTTTTACCTAGTTGAACTCTTCTCCTTTGTGCATATGCTTCCACTAGTCTAATCCTTCCTTGTCAAGTTCATGTTCCGGATCTTTACCTTGTTGATCTCTACTCATTGTGCATGTATTTTCCACTAGTCTAGGCTTCCCTTGTCAAGTTCATGTTCCGGATCCTTACCTTGTTGATCTCTACTTATTGTGCATGTGCTTTCCACTAGTCTAGTCTCTCATTGTCAAGTTCATGTTCGAGATCTTTACCTTGTTGATCTTTACTCGTTGTGCATGTGCTTTCCACTAGTCTAGTCTTTCATTGGCAAGTTCATGTTCCTGATCTTTATCTTGTTGATCACTACTCATTGTGTATGTGCTTTCCACTAGTCTAGTCCCCCATTGTCAAGTTCATGTTCCGGATCTTTACCTTGTTGATCTCTACTCATTTGTGCAGGTGCTTTCCACTAGTTTAGTCTCTTATTGTTAAGTTCATGTTCCGGAAGCTTTTATTTAGTTGAACTCTTCTCCTTTGTGCATGTGCTTCCACTAGTCTAATCCTTCCTTGTCAAGTTCATGTTCCGGATCTTTACCTTGTTGATCTCTTCTCATTGTGCAAGGCTTTCCACTAGTCTAGTCTCCCATTGTCAAGTTCATGTTCCGGATCTTTACCTTATTGATCTCTACTCATTGTGCATGTGCTTTCCACTAGTCTAGTCTCTCATTGGCAAGTTCATGTTCCGGATATTTTACTTAGTTGAACTCTTCTCCTTTGTGCATTTGCTTCCACTAGTCTAATCTTTCCTTGTCAAGTTCATGTTCCAGATCTTTACCTTGTTAATCTCTACTCATTGTGCACGTGCTTTCTACTAGTCTAGTCTCTCATTGTCAAGTTCATGTTCCGGATCTTTACCTTGTTGATCTCTACTCATTGTGCATGGGCTTTCCACTAGTCTAGTCTCTCATTGTCAAGTTCATGTTCCGGATCTTTACCTTGTTGATCTCTGCTCATTGTGCATATGTTTTCCACTAGTCTAGTCTCTCATTGTCAAGTTCATGTTTCGGATTTTTACCTTGTTGATCTCTACTCATTGTGCATGTGCTTTCTACTAGTCTAGTCTTTTATTGTCAAGTTTATGTTCCGGCCCTTTACCTTGTTGATCTCTACTCATTGTGCATGTGCTTTCTACTAGTTTAGTCTCTCATTGTCAAGTTCATGATCCGGATTCTTACCTTGTTGATCTCTACTCATTGTGCATGTGTTTTCCACTAGTCAAGTCTCTCATTGTCAAGTTAATGTTCCGGATCTTTTACTTAGTTGAGCTCTTCTCCTTTGTGCAAGTGTTTTTACTTGTCTAATCCTTCCTTGTCAAGTTCATGTTCCAGATCTTTACCTTGTTGAACTCTTCTCCTTTGTGCATGTGCTTCCTCTAGTCTAATCCTTCCTTGTCAAGTTCATATTCCGGATCTTTACCTTGTTGATCTCTACTCATTGTGCATGTGCTTTCCACTAGTCTAGTCTCTCATTGTCAAGTTCATGATCCGGATCTTTACCTTGTTGAACTCTTCTCTTTGTGCATGCGCCTTCCACTAGTCTAGTATCTCATTGTCAAAGTTCATGTTCCGGATCTTTACTTAGTTGAGCTCTTCTCTTTGTGCATGTGCCTTCCACTAGTCTAGTCACTCAATGTCAAGTTCGTGCTCCGGATCTTTACCTTGTTGATCTCTTCTCTTGGTGCATGTGTTTTCTATTGATTTAGCTTCTCATTGTCATGTTCGTGCATAATATTCCACGATTTAATTAGTCAACCTTTTTCTATGGGACGGATGATCGATGTTTGGTTGCTGCTACGGGGAGCTGATTTGATTAGAAGGTCTTCTTTTCTCTCTCTCTCTTTCTTCCTCTCCCCCTCCACATCTCTCTCTCTCCCTCTCCTTCTCTCTCTCCCCCCTTTCCCCCCTCCTTCTTTAGTCCTCTCTTTCCCCTCCGCCCTTTTCACCTCGCCTTCACTCTACCTCTCTCCCGTCCCCTCACTTGGCATATGGCTAACCCTTCTCCCCTCACTTGAAAAACATTGCGAGGGTACGGATGGTGACCGAAATCAGACCTCACTTGGTGGAGAAAGAGAACAAGGGGAGGATAACCTGTCCATTGTGCCACCAAGAAGGCAAAAAAAAGGACGTTTGAAAAAGTGGGAGAAAGGCGGGATTCGGAAGGAAGCATAAGTTGAGAGAGAGGTCAGTTTGACTCAACCGTTTCCCCGACCACATGACTATGAGAAGAGGATGGGCTGATTGAACAACGAAAAGGGAACAAAGCACGGCCAAAGAACATGAAAAGGATAGGCATGTGAGAAGGGTTATGTGTTGACCCCCAACTGGGGATATTGTATGGATCTTCTTGCTTGTGCGGGATTGTGCAGGCGAGTAATGGCTAAAAATGCCTTGAGCGGGATAGGGGCGAGAGAAACTGGGCATCAAGAGAACAACGAAAAGGGGACGAAGGGGCTATGGGGCCCTTGACATAGAGCCAACCCATGAGAATGACTTTTGTGCTTGAGACTTAGAAGTGTGATTGAGAGTGTAATTGTACCAAGGAATTTGTGATGTTATGCGTGCATGCATATGAGGACCCCGAAAAGACTAAGGGGCCTACTTCAATAAGGAAAACAACAAATTGTGAGACTCGATGGATGAGTAGAGGCGAGGGGGAGGACAGCTCTGCCACACCCCGATGACGTCATATAACCACATTGCTTAGGGAAATGGTGCGTGGCCTAAGGATGACGCTTAGCCTACGCACAAGAGAAGAGAAACGCTCAAAGAATCCTTGGACTGCCTGCGTATTGGAAGGAGCAATTGCATGAGAATACAACAACGAATAAAAAAAAAATCAGCGTTGCGGAACAACCAGCGAGACTACCACCTGGCGTGAGGGCTGAGCTACATCCCCAATGTCAAAGCTCTTCGCGCGATGACCCACCCCCATCCATCTCAAAGCACTAGGTGGGGGTGACCTCGGGACGAACAGCCCGCGCCCCGAGCATGAGCATGGGCGGGCCGAGCCAACTGGGACCCACAGTGGGGTCGACTAAGGCTCGAAAGTCTACCGAGGTTTGGCCCTACACCGCGTATGAGCACTACATGCTGAGCCAGGGGATTGCGCAGGAGGAGTGGATGCAGGCCCTACTTATCTAGACTAGCGGGGTAGAGAGGCCAGTAGCCAGACAGGTCCGAGAGAGGGCGCGAGACTGGGAGGACTGCCAGTCACAGCTCAGGAGGGTGTTTGGACGGCCAGAGCGTGAGAGGCCCGAGCCCAGGGTCGAGAGGCCAAGACGAAGTAAGAGGCCAAGGGAACCGGCGCCGAGAGAGGCCGGACTGACCAGAGAGAGGAGGAGGGCCCCAGCACAGCGGGAGGATGAGCCCGCGGGGCCCGCGCCGGAAGAGGAGTCGTTCCCTGCTTGTGGTCTCAGGGCAGTTGAGTTTCGGCGGATTACGAGCGAAGAGATGAGACCGCCTTCACCATCGCCATCAGGGCAGGAGCTGGACATACCAGGGGAGACGCCATTCCGGAACTTAGCGACTCACCTTGACGTATCTCGATGGAGGCCTCACGGTTGGAGGAGGGCTCAGTTGAGCCGACGCGCTATGTACCGTTAGAGGAGCCTTTGGACCTCGAGACGGAGACGGACATGCGAGACCGTGGGGGGCCGCAAGATCTTGAGATGGCAGCCGAGCGGCCGGACCCGGTACGACCTCAGGCTGAGGAGGTGATCACGGTCGGAGACGATACCCCTCCATGTACCCCAGTCCCAGAGCCAGCACAACAGTCCTGGCCAGAGGGGGTTCCTGAGCTAGACAGTAGGAGGTCCCAGAGCTTCCCCCTGAGACCGCCGCTACACCTGAGCAAGAGACGGAAATGGAGGATCAGGGGGCGCATGAGAGAGCGAGGGTGGAGGTACTCCCTGACTTGCCTTTGGCCACGCATGCGACCGAGAGCCCAGTTATCAGGGGACCTGCTCTAGCGGAGCCATCGCCAGCATTGCCATGCACGAGCGAGAGGGTGGGTGCCGAGGCGTCGACTCCGGAAGGCCAGAGGCCGCAAGTGAGAGGAGCCTCAAGAGAAACCCGCGAGGAGAAGTCCGCCAGAGTGCGAGTCCGTCTAGATGAAATACACACGAGGCAGGCTGAGATGGAGGCGGCAGGGATAGAGCCGACGCCGCCAATCGATCCCAAAACGAGCGAACAGCGGATCGACGAGTTGTGGGCGAGGTACGAGGGCCAGAGGGACGCGGCCCGACAGAGGTCACGAGGGACGGGACAGGCGGATAAGGAGGCGGGTGAGCTGAGGGAGATGGGGGACTTGGGGTTCTCCGCGACTAGGATGGCGATTGAGCGTGTTGATAAGAGGATATGTGAGTCGACAGTTATATCCTTCCAGTGGTATAGTCTACTCAGCGATGAGCTCAGGGTCAGAAAATTGGAGGTGGAGCACCTAACTGCCCAACTTGCGGAAGAGAGAGCGAGGAGCCAGGCCAAAGAGGTTGAGTGGGAGAGGCAGTTTGGGGAGATGGTGGCCATTGTGGATAGGCTTTCGGCAGCCTGGGAGGCTAGTCAGACAGGACGAGCCGGTGCCGATGGCCGGGGCCGAGGGGTGCAGGCTTCGCCGAGTCGGGGAGCAGCGGTGGAGGCCCCTCGACAGGCCAGGCCAATGGGGGAGGTGCCTCCGAGTTCAGCTGAGGAAGGGGAGGGGGCCCAAGAGTCACTTATGGCGATGTCCACAGAGAGACGAGGCTCGCGTTTGCATGAGCTGGCAGCAACCATGGGGATAGGTACTCCGCAGGAGAGGCCTCAGAGGCTTTACGCTCCAGACTACGCCCGAGAGCTGGAAGAGTTAAGGGCGGGGTTGGGCTCCTGGGCCACAGGGACGGACTCAGGAGGGCCTGACTCAGGGCAGCAACAGCAACAGGAGGTCATGAGCGAGCCAGCCGCCGTGGCGGGCTCTCAGCTGCCAGGATCATGTAGGGATATGGTTGCGACGGAGAGGCCTCACGAAGAGGGGCCCCGAGAGTCAAGCACGCCAGAGTGCGGGCCGATGGGCGCAACCATACAAGGAGGGGAGGATGCTGAGGCTATGGAGTTCGAACCTCGGGAACATATGGGGGTACCATTGTGTCATGAGGTGACCACCGAGACCATGGGGACGCCTTCAGCATCAAGTTCCCGAGGGAGAGAGAAGAAGACTGCCAGGTGGCACAACACCTCCTGCTTTTGGTGCAAGAAGGAAGGGCATAGAGTCGTGGACTGCCCAGAGCTCCTCGAGGATAAGGCCGAGGGGCGGGTCGCAGGACATAACCAGGGCATAGTGGAGCGAGCTCCAAGTGGGGGCAGGGCCCAGTTATACAGGCAGAACCAGGAGGAGTTGTGTGAGTAGGGGCTGGTCTGTCTATGTGCCAATAGGGCCAGAGTATTTTGCGCACAGGGGGAGGGTTGGAGGTGTACATAGGCTGAGTTGGCTGAGGGGGCCCTAGGTGTGCGCATTCTTTAAGGGTGGTAGGATGAGTCCCTGCCTGATTGTACATACTTAGTTGACTGTGTTTTCCTTGAGTTTCTTTCATGGGCCATGGCTTAGGAGATGAGATACGACCGTAGGACGCATGAGGTCATTCAGTCTATCTTTGGGTTTGTGATGCAGAGACTATTTGGATTTTGAGGAAGACTTGCGTATGAGTTTTCCTCAGTAGAGTGAGACAGGGGTTGGGCATTCATTGGATTTTTGGTAGATGTTGTGTCCCTGAGTGTATTCCGCGAATGTACAGTGGGGTCGCGAGTCATGCTCAGACGGAAAGAGCTTTGAGTCGAGTGCCTATATTTGAGTTTTGGGGGAGACAATCTACTCCCTGAGTGTACCATGGGTTGAAATCCTATGAGACTTGTCTTGTGACGATCACTATCACTCTCACACGTGTGGATTTATCTTGATGTATGTTTGGCTTTGTGGGGGGGGCGTACGGGATACACCCCGTGAATAGTAAAGTTGTCTACTCTCCGGTATACTCGTGCGGCCTGTTTGCGAGCAGACAAGAGAGCAGAGTATAAGGAGGGGAAGTGCAGCCTGTTTGTAAAGGATTGTGAGAATCCTATGAGATTGATGAATTTGAAAACCTGATTGCTTGCTATATCAAATATTGTTGTTTGAGTTATATGAGGACCCAAAAGATGGTCCCTCAGTTTGAGTTGTTTGATGATTGAGACCTCCCTCATGGTTCTCGAAGGTGGGAATTGCATTGTTATTGAGACCCTTCATGATTTTAAGAAGAGGTCGTATGAAGGTTCATCCCAAACAAAGAGGGGATGGTTGTGAAACTTTTTTTGAGAGACACCCTTTACTAAGTAAGGGTGGGTAAGAATTGAATGGTATGAAAAACATTGTTTATGTTGATAAAGCCTGACGAGAGGGAACCATGTTTGCTTGAAATGTTTGAAAAGAGGCGAGAGATGCCTCAGGATGGGCGACTGCTGGCTCTAATCAAGTCAGGAGCCGCGGCCTTGTGAACCCGGCTAGGAAGTTTATTTGTGGTTGAGCGAAGGATGTCGTGCCTATTATGGGAGGGCCGGTAAATGCCTTCAGACCCTGCGTAATCCCGCAGTGGCCTGTGAATTGTTTGTGAGACATATTTAAAGGAATACCAAGCTAACGGTAAAGTTTAGTACGACCTGGGCGCAACCCCTAGTGGATGGCTGCTAGCCGGCGCAACATGGCTGCGGGCCCGCGAGGTAAGAGTTTAAGGGGAGTCGCCCACCCCAGCGAAATTACTTCGCGGGATAAGAGTCGAGTCTTTTGGAGGCCCCGATTGATTGATTATCAGGGACATACCTGTCGTTGTACAACCAGCGGGAGGGTACCGCCGCTAAGATAACAACGTGGTGGGCCGTAGACCTAGCCCGATCACCCAGGCTATGGTGGCCCCAGATAGAGACCTGGCGTTTCTGTACTAGACTGCAGAAAAGGCCGAGAAAGGCTATAAACTTATACCTATGTATTTTGCTTGACTGCGGGGAAATTGTTGAAAGAAGGCAAGAATGTCTTCACAGGTCTCATTCAAAGCCCGCGTCCCTAGTTGTGGCTCTGCTTGCGAGAAAGAGGCTAATTGGGACACCCAACGAGCGGCCGGCAGTTGTCTAGGACAAAGGGGAAATGATGGTTTGAGGGCCTTTGAAACTTATGTTGTAGTATTGATGCGTAATACACCGGCGTCCTGGTATCAGGACAATTGGGACCCAGGTTGAAACCCTGGCAGCATATAGTTGTGTTGGCACGGTTTGATGGAGGCCTCAACCCTAAGTCGGTCGGCTAATCGGATTGGTTCTAGCCTCGTCAACATTTGGAATGTGAATGGATTTGTAGCTCTCCGATTTTGCGAAGCGACGGGGACGTCGCTTAATGTGGTCCGATAAGCTGTCGGCGAGAATACCCTTACAAGGGTATCCGCTCTGGTTTTCGCAGATGACAGAAAAAATGAGTTTGGCTTAAGGTTAAGTATATTGCGCGAGGCGCGGCTGCGTCTGGGTGGCTACGATGGCCGGATGGTTGACTAGAACAAAGAGTGTGTGGGCGCGCAGGCTTGAGGCGCAGGTGATTCCTTTCGTTGTCGTTGATTATAAAGTCGGTGCACGCCGGTCGGCTATCCCTGTTGTTATTGTTATTTGGTTACTCTTGATCAACCTAGGGTTTAACGCTATTTTTTTTTTTATTGGTATGTTTGACTGAGAGTTGTGCGCGTGCGAAAAACGACCTTCAAGACGGCACCAACAGCGACGACGCGGCTTTGGGCGGTGAATGGGGCGGTGTAAGGTAGCGCGCGGGGCGATGATGGGATGATATAGGTAAGCCGGCGTGGGTGCTGGGGAGCCGCGCAACCAGGTCGCTGGCCCTGAGCGCCGCGCCGCACTGCTTTGTATGGTATTCTGTGGGCGTTGGTCTCAGGCTTGGGCATAGCCCTATAGGTTACGGTAGCGGGCTGTTACTATTGAGGTTCGGGGATCGAGGTCGGCAGGCGGCAGCGCGCGAGTAAGGGAGCAGCGAAGGGCTGAGGGGTTGAGTGTCCCGCGGAACTATCCCCTTTAGTTTTGTTAGGGGAGTCCGCTCACGGGCCCACGTCGCAGGGCCAGAAGGAGCGCAAGTAGGTCGCGTCCGGCTTCGGCCAGCCTCCCTATTTTTTTTCCTTTTTTTTGTTTTTTTGTTGTCTTAGTGCTATCTGGCCCTTCTTATTCGAATAGAACCGCTGGAGCCGGACACCTGGCCGGAACTGGCTGCGACCGCAGGGGGCTGGTATAGCAGGCGCGCCTGTGAACTGCTGASGCGGGGGCCTGTGTCGGACCTAGGAAGGGTCGYGCGACCATTTCGAAGTGCTCAAGGGAACGACTGAGTGCAGACCCTTCGGGACGGCCGTAAAGATGGGAGTGGGGTAGTAAAGAGTTCGCATGGCCCCTGCGCGAGAGTGATATRAGTAGACCGTGAGAAAAGAGAGGGGGGGGGGGCGGCCCGACACTTGCTGATATCAGAGCCATAGCACSTGACGGGCGCCCCTACTAAGGACCCGGCCTCGAAAGGAAGCCAGATCCCTACCAAAATGGTGCGTGGGATGCAGCGGCAGTCCTTCGGGACATCTGCTAAAATGGGAACAATACAGAGAAGATTAGCATGGTCTCTGCGCAAGGGTGGCACCCACAAACGGGGATGAACCCGGCCGTGAAACGGGCCGGGTACGGGCAAAAGAGGGACCGTAGGGCCTTTAGGCCGACACGGGGCGTTACCCCGGCTGGGATTTTTTTGGGGATCCGCAAAGTTTGGAAGGGATACGGAGGAGATTCGCGTGGTAGGGATGTAGGGATTGTTTGTCAAAGATCGGGAATGAGCCCGGACGTGGAACGGGGCAGGAGCATAAGGAGGGGGACGGGAAAGGAGAAAGGGGCGGAGTGGCCTTTGAGAGTGTCGTGAGACGTTGCCCCGGCCTGAGTCTTTCGGAGCATCYGRCAAGACTGGAACGATATAGGGGAGACCAGCTCGGCCCCGACGCAAAGATGACATATATAAATTGGGAGCGATTTCCTCCCTTCGGCCGCTTTGCTATTTTTGAGCCGATCGACTTTCGCGCTGCCCGAGCCACGAGGCACTGGTTATTGGAGGGGGTGAACCTGGATAGAGGGTCGCGGTAGGTGCACGCGGAAGGGAGTGATCGGAGATGGCGGAGAGGCTGGCAGCAGGTAGCGGTGGTACGAGCGACTGTCGGGCGGGTGCTGAGGCAGGGAGAAGGGGGGTTGACGGGGGAGCGACGGACTGCGAAGAAGAACGAGATGAACCCGGATAGGAAACCGGGCCGGGTGCATTCGGAAGTGGTGGGGAGACAGGAAGGGCGCAGTCGGGGATGAGTAACGTGCACGATTCTTTATAGAACCGGACAGGGGGGGGACGTAGTAGGGGGTTTTCTATCATGGCGGACGCAATGGCGTGGTTGGTTTCAGCAGTAAGTTAGTGGTTTAGTCGGGGTAGGAGTTGGAGGGGGCGTGAAAGCTTGGAGAGCTGTAGCTGTGAAAGGGACTGAAGGATCGATTACTCGCTCGGGTTTTGGTAAAATCGAGCAGAGTAAAATGTTAACCAGAGAATTTGGGTAAGGCGAAGCTAATGGTGTTGCTAGTTTAGTTGTAGATTAGTAGTTTGGTCGGAGTTAGTATTGTACGCTGCGCCGGAAGAAAGGCTTGGACACGGTTATATATCTTTCCGTGTTCCAGCGGAAGACTCATTCGATTTTGCTTATCCTATTGGTGGTGGCTGGATGGAGCCAGTCGTGGGGATCGGAAACTCAGCTCATGCCCAGTCCTTGCACAATGTGTCGGCGGGAGGAGCGTTGATCAGTCTCGCAGCAGGCACCGCTTGGGGAAACGCATTGTATCCGGCTGTGCTGCGGAGAAAGGTTCAGTGTCTGCCTCGTTTATCCGAGAGGAGGTGAAGGAAAACACTCGCCGAGCGCAGGAAATGGGAGGAGTAGCGACGGGTTGGTCGTGACGTAGACCCTCTTATTGGGCTGAGGTAGCAGGCGGTTGGAGTCTGAGCCACAATACCCTGGCCAGCACCATCTTGCACGTTGCTCGGTCCTGCTGGCCGCTACTACAGTCGGCTGCAGTTGCCATGGTCCGCCACAGTCTGCTATCGGCTGCTCTGCTGCGGCTTGTGGCCGTTGTACAGTCTCCATTTGTTGTCGTTCCTATCGGATTGTTTCAGTAGGGCTGCAACTGCTATAGTGCCCCCTTACTGTTGTCACTACATTTGGGCCTTGTGTATTGCTGCGAGGAAGCTTGGCTCTCTGTTGGGTGTGGATGCCGAATGATGCTGTCGTACGCCGGTATGAGCAGGTTGCTCTAGCCATTGGGAGGCGACCACTTTCAGGCTTTGTAGCAGCGGACTAGCCAACGGCTAGC